CCGGCCCGCCCCCCCCCCCCTTTTTTTTTTTTTAAATTCCAGTTAAAACTCATTTTCTCAATGCCCATGATTAAATAAATTTATCTGGTCTTACCTCAAAGAGGAGGTTAGGTATGGTGGTTATAAGAAGCACAGGCTTTGGAAATAGACAGTCTTTGCTTAGTTTATTCTGTTTGGCCTTCTCCATGTTTCCTCATCTGTAAAATGGGTAGAATTATGAGGGTTAAATAAGCTCTTGCAGCGAAGGCACTAAGTATTTTGCCTGGCACATAGTCATTTCTCAATGAATTGTTAGCTATTATTATTTGTGGTGAAGGGAATGATATTTAAGTGGCAGGAACTGATTGTAAAAGGTGAACATATGGAAGAAAGGAAAGGTTCTTTCTCTTGCTGTTTATATGTCCTTAACCATGATTCTTTCCTTCTCCCGAGTGTGCTAAAAAGGGATAAACAAGCTGAGTCTCCACTTTTGAAACTAAGCGTATGTAATACTTTATAGTATTAATTCTTAAGCCATACAAAATATTTTTCAAGTATGTATATAAATTTTTTCTTTTTTTAAAAATGCATCCATCATTTCCACTTGAAAGTAGGGTAAAGCTTTTTTCTTTTTTAATTAATGTTTTTAATGTAATCTTGAGTCTACAGGTCTTGCTGCCCTTTAAGATGGGTAGTTGGTGTGTGTATTATAAGTACTGTTCTTATCTGGACATATATCTAGGGTGACCATTATTGCTTTCTTACTGGGTCAGTCAGGATAGGCTATATTATGCCACAGTAACAACCTCCAAATCTTGGTTAAAAAGCAAAGGTTTATTTATTATGTTTGACACAAGTCCAGGTCAAACTTGGTTTGTAAAACGGGAAGGGGGGCCCTCTTGATTTATCTTCATTTTTACTCTGACATCCAGGCTGACAAAGCCACCATCTTGAACTTGATTATTGTGACATGGTGAATTGCACACTGGCTTGTAAAGCTTCCACCTGGAGGTAATCTCAATTTTTACTGGCCTGCACAAATTACATGGTCACAACTAACTTTGAAGGGGTGATGGGTGTGCCAGGAAGGAGAGAAGTGGAGCATTAGGTAGCAGTCTTAATGACTTCTACACCTGACCACCTACTCTCTCTCATCCTCCATGTCTGATCATTGGCTAAGTCCTAAGGATTCTGCCTCCTAAATA